AAACACCTCCCTTCGACCAGTCCGCTCCCACAGAGAGGGCCTCCTTAGAGTGCCGTCGGCCAGACAATGCCGGTTGGCGACCCCCAGGGGGAGAGCCTTCTCTGTGGCAGCTCCTGCCCTCTGGAATGACCTACCCCCCGACCTACGTACAGTTGCGGACCTGCGCCTTTTTCGCCGAGCCCTGAAGGCCCATCTATTCCGTGCAGCTGGCCTGGCGTAGTTTGATTATGTTTTAGTGGGGGTTTTGTATGGGGTGTTTTTAGAACAGGCCTGTTATTTAATTTGATTTTAGCACAGAAACTATTTATTTATTATTGTGGTTTTTAGTATCGCCTGTTCACCGCCCTGAGTCCCGTAAGGGAGATAGGGCGGTATATAAATTTAATAAATAAATAAATAAGTATATGGAAAAACTGTAAAACTGTTTTTTCTATCAATCCTCAAAGAACATGCATACAAAAGGAAAAGCATTGGCGCTTGTTATTCCAGCAGAGGTAGAGAAGTAGAGGAACTGGGAAGAGGGCTCAGAAATGGCTGTATGGGCAGAATATCTAGCTATAATTGTGGTGAATGTGGTGGCGGCGCAATGGTTAGAATGCAGTATTGTAGGCTAACTCACTCCTCACTGCCAGGAGTTCGATTCTGACTGGTTCAAGTTGACTCAGCCTTCCATCCTTCCGAAGTCAGTAAAATAAGGCCCCAGATTGTTGGGGGCAATATGCTGACTCTGTAAACTGCTTAGAGAGGTCTGTAAAGTACTATGAAGCGGTATATCAGTCTAATCCAGGGATAGGCAACCTTGGCTCTTTTATGACTCATGGACTTCAACTCCCAGAATTCGAAGTTGAAGTCCACGAGTCATAAAAGAGCCAAGGTTGCCTACCCCTGGTCTAAGCGCTACTGCTATTGCTATTGCTAAAAGTAGAGGAAGGGGTTGAAATCTGGAAATATGTCTCATAAACTGGCTTGATTTTCAGCTGATTTACTTAAAGAAAACAAAGAATTTGAAGACTGTTTTATAGACCCACAGCCTACTATCCTCGTGTGACCTGTAGCTCAGATGAGGCTAATAAATCAGTACCACTGAATCTGTAAATTCAGTGTAGTGATGATACCTTAGCCCTAGGATGGCAGATAAACTCACTCACTGGCCTCAGGTATTTGTTGGGGTGGGGAAAAAAAATCAAACCCTCAGATATTCCAGAAAGCAAGGACTGAGGGCTGGACCTGCCCTATTCCTAACTGCATTAGCTAGTCTATTTTAGGTAGTCTAACTGATACAACAAGGAGTATGGATCTCAAAATTAATACACTAAAGACTAAAGTGATTAGGTTGGCCAAGAAAACTGAACAGTTCCAAAGTACACATAAATGGTGAAAAGTTAAAGCAAGCAGATAAATTTGTTATCTCCCTGGTAGAAAGTTCATTGCAAAGGGAAAATGAAGAAATCCGAGGATATATGTGGTGATCTGACTAATGAACTTTTGCTGAAATAAGTGAAAATGGCTGTAGGTAAAAGTGAATGCTCCCCATTTTGCTACATGGCAGTTTGGTTAGATAATTCCCAAGGTATCTTTCAAATTTTATATTCAATTTTTTCTGATTCCCTTTCTTTTCTCTTAGAGCATACTTTGAATTTAATTTGCATATTATTTCGTATACCTTGTCTGGATTATATAATATTGCTTACCCAGAAAGAAAATAGTGTCGTGGGGATGTAGGCATATATGTAAACAGCTTTTCTCTAATTTTATTACAGATAGCATGGATGTGATTGGCATGATTTCCTTTCTCAAGGAATATTCTATACATCTTTATTACTTCTAACCATTGTTCATGACCTGAAAAGCAGACTTTCAAAATTAAGAGGGTATTTTTAAAAAGGTGTTTCTAGGTAGACCCTTTGTGTGTGGCATTCTATTAATTATTTTCCAAAAGACCAAATTTATCTATAGCAAAAGAAAAGTCCACAAAAAGCACCAACATATGCTATAAATTAACTGGTTTAAGATCAATTAAAAGTAACAGATGTATTAATAGCTGCTGTACCTTGTAACCATGTGAATCATTAACATCTGATGATCACAGAGTTATCTGAAGACCTGTAAAAATAAATGATCCATCATGAATTAGGCCCCAGAAACTAAGCATTAGTATCCTTGTTCAAAAGCAAGGGCATCAGTTCATATATTTAAGCAACACATTGAGTAGTGAAGTGTGAAATCGGGTTAGATACGTATATTTGTGAACAAGACATAAAGCTTGAAGCAGCATAGCTGTGGATTTGCTTTCAGCAACAAGGAAGTTGAATTGCAGAAACAGAGCATAATACAGCTTTTCTAAGTAGGTGGCTTATAGAAGATGGTACCTGGAAGGCATCCAGCTGGTCTACTGGCAAGGCAACCAAGACTAAGAATGTAGATTACTCCAAGAAGGCACTCAGGTAAAACAAGAGAATACAGCTGAGGCACCCAGATGTAGACAACTGCAATCAATACCACAGGGCACTTGCATGTTCAAATAGAATCTGGCTTTTTTCCCCCCTGGTAGAGGTATTAATTAGATAATTCCAGAGTGAAGCAGACCATTAGCAATCAATTACAACAAAGCACTGGCAATAAATGCAGATAATTAGGCTCCCCAAAAAGTAATTACGTTTGTTCCACTCCAATGAACTTTTTATTTTAATAGTAATTAACTTAGGCTGGGGGAGAGAAAGTTTGAGTGACCCACTGTGCCCAGTCCTGACTGCATGAAATATAGAATGATACCCCATCATAATTATGAGCCCTTTTCTCTAGAGTAAAAATATATTTATATTTTTAATTATATCTATTGTATATCTATATGTACAGCATATAAAAGCTACTCTGGCTAATGGGCAGTGGGAAAAGGGGGGGGGAATACAATAAGACTTAACATAGTAATTCCTATATTTGTTACGTGGAGTCAAAACAATGTGGAATGCAGACTCTTCCTATCATCTTTGACCATCTGTAGCTCAGACCAGCAAGCCTGAGCAACAAAATCCACAATCTAATGAACCATTGCAAGCGTAAAGTCTCTGTTAATGGACAACCTGAGAAAGGAATTATCCTTCAGTCTAAGGTTCTTTTGAGATCTATTGAAAGATGCTGTAGCAGTGTACCAGTAATGTAGAACTGCTTTCAGTGAAAATATTTAACATAACTTTCTCAAGCCCAGTTTATGCTGTTGCATATTACACAAGCTCAGAGTCAGGCAGGATTTTTGATAAGACTATGTAGAGTGTAGACTGACAGAAGCCGCTATCTTCGAAACCTAAAGTTTTCTTCCATTTGGTAATCCCATTGGAGGAAAAAGGAGAGGCTACACTTCAGACAAGAGATATTTCCTTGCTTACGTTAAGATCTTTACAGAATTCAGACATTCACCAATTTAAAGCCAAAGGTAAAAAAGATGATTCTGGGGGAAGCTACCTGTTGATTCACAAGACATTAATCAGACTCACCTGCTTGCATGGATGCAAATCTTCTTAAGTACAAAAAAGTTAGTACTGATCAGTGATCTTAATGGTCTAATATAGACCATATGCTTGGTATTGTTGAACTATAGAATGCACGATTAACTACCCTCATAAACTATTAATGGGATCTACTCATTCCCGATCTTTGCTAAATTGTGAAATTGGCAGGCAGAGAAAACAGATTTTCTCTGATTCCTAAAAATGGGGTCACTGTGCAAATAATTCTGGCAAAGTACTGAAAAGACAAGGCACTTTGCATTTCCACTCCTGCCTCTTTATCTAGTCATCAGACAAGGAACATTTATATGAAACTAGCAAAATGATTTAGGGAAAGGATTGAAGAAATGTTTCCTGATAGAAATTGGCCCAATGTGAACTTTCAATGTTGCAGATTCAAGGAATACTGAGAAGGACAAATATTTTGGCTTCTGCCTGGTTGGATGCTCTAAAGGTCTTTGTAGCTTCACATGCAGTCTATGTGTTGTGCATCTAATGTGCAATATTCTGCAGTGTATACTGAGGAATTTTCATCACAAACAAGAGAAAGCTTAGAGTGAAGATTCTCAAAGAAAATTTTCACTGAAAATAAGCCACCCGGAATGGATAAAGAGAGGAAGAATCTCCACATTCTGGTACTTTCATTAATAACCTCATGAAATCCTAAGAAGAAAAGACTGGCAACAGAAGCTGGATTTTTTTTTTTAATCAGTCATATTAAACTAATGACCACCAGGTTGTTGTCAGAATGGAAACAACAAATTCACACATACACGCTTACAAAGGAAAATCCAGTCAATACCTGAAAAAAAAAACAATTCCCGGTTAGGAAAGCAACTTGAGAAACACTGGTGTCTGAATGATGGCAAGGGTCTTGTGTTTCTTCTGCCTCAAATATCCCCCAACACCCTCACTGAAAAAAGAATCCCAGGAGTCTGCTTTTCCTTTTTCAACTCCAAGAAAGAAAACAAAATGAGATGGATGCAGTTGGAAGTCTGATGAGACAAGCAGAAGTCAGCCCGGCACAATCTGAAGAATTTGGCCTATGGAAACAAATGTGATCTGAGAGGCCAAAGGTTGGCACTAATGAGATTGCACTACTGCCTGCATAAACCAGTCAATTAAAATATATATTCCTTTTTTTTCCACTGGAACTCACACTGCCATAATAGTGGAGAGGAGAAGAAGTGGGCTTGGTATTAAAGCTGCTGTCTCCCCAGAAGAGGTTGGAGCCTTGAAAGAAGAAGTCTCTGCCTGGAGAAAGGGGTGGGTGTAGCTGAGCATAAACATCCAGAAGACACAGGATAGGACACAAACCTTGCAGAAGACAGGGCCATAGCAATGTGCTTTGCCACAGCTGGAGATCTGCTTTCCACAAGGGCAAGCTCAAGCGCGGTTTGGGAAGTGCAGGCCTCCCGCAACAAAAAAATAAAATAAAAAAATAAAAAATCCATGAAATTCATGGTTCAGCAGCAAGTTTTTTTAAAATCTTCAGACCCTCAAATTCCTTGGCACTGGAGGTCATGCAATGTCATTCTGCTTTGGAGTCAATTTTTTTCCCTCTAATAAAAATGAAATGTGCATTCTGGGGAAGAATAAATGTGCTAGTGCAGATGTGTTGACAGCTTCAAAACCTGATGGACAGAGGAAGCAGGAGGCCCATCGTTATTTGTAACCTAGGCAGCGTTTGCACGCCAGAGAGGCAGACTATAAATATAAAATCATATCTGCTACAAACAGACGACTTATATTGTACAACCTTTACCCATATACACAAGAACACAATTTACATATAATGCCTTACAGGAGTGTCATTGTCACAGAAAGGATTTTTTTTTCTAAAAAAGAAGGGGGGGAAAAGCACAGCTCCCCCCCCCTCACCTACGTTCAGTGCACATACCAGGTTAGGCAATCCAACAATTACAGGTGGAGTTGTTTTTAATTCACTTGTATTTTTCTGAATTGTGCATGAACTAGACAGCCTTTTCAATGTATGTGCATCATCCCACACAGAGATGCTGCACAAAAGGAATGTGGCAGCATGCACATGAAGTATATATGTCTTTTGTTAATGCCTGAAATGCTTCACTTCTTCAGACATGCAGAGTGAAGCTAAGGCCTGAGAGTGTCTTGTGTTCAACAGCACTGCCTTCTCTTGGGCAGGACTCTTTGTAAGGCATCTTCATTGGGGAGTTTAAACAACTGCCGAAGAAGAAACAGGGGGAAACAAGAAAAAAAAGAAACAGGCCAAACAGGAAGTGCATGAGTTTGTCTGTGCTTAGCAGGTTAACAAGAGGCTGCAAAGACTTAGATTATCTAGGCTGAAACTTGGAAGGCATTCAGAAGTTCTGTTTATTCATTTCACTTCCATCCAAGCTCAGGCCATCATCACAGCAGGACACTAATGGTTTCTGGAGTGGCATGTCCACACATGGAGTGGCAGGCAGGCACACACAAAAGTGAAGACAGAAGTCTGATGGGAGCTTTTTTACAGCAAAGATTGGGCTCCTGGTCAGTGTGTCCGAGGGCTTAGGTGATCGAATGCCACAGTGATTGAAACTGTGCCAGCACAATGAGAAGCAAAGGCAGACCCCCTACTGCCTATCGACGATAGTGATTGGGAGCATCTGCAAACATGTACTTTAGTCTGTAGGCTTCAGCAAGGAGGAGTCCAATCTCTTCATTGCCCCAGTGTATGGTGGGTAGATTCTGTAGTAACATTAGAAGGCCCTGAAATGAGGAAAAGAGACAGCTCAGAGATGTGACCTTGGCTTTAAATGGGCGAAAACACTTTTATGTTCTCGTGGCATTACCTTTCTGTTTCATTATTTTATTTATTCAAATTTATTATCGTGCCCCAACTCAGGGAGACATGCCAAATCAAAACATCCATAAAAACAGATAAAAAACAAAACCACGCAGACAACCTGGACCAAGATAATCTCAAAACCTATATTCTTGCAGTCCATTCAATTCAATATGAACTATAGTCACTGGGGATCTGATTCAGGCAGCATTGATCCTGATAACCAGTTGGGGGGGGGGACACCATCTCAGGGTTGGGGTCAAAGCCTAAAACACGAAATCTTTGCCTCCTGCTTTACTTATAGACAATGTAGCAGAGTCCGATATTACAGCTGTGGAAATTATGTTACCAAAGCCCTCAGAGAAAATGTCTGCATCTCTGGGTAAAGTGATTTCATGCCCGTAATCACAGACCAGAAAAAACTGCTGTACATACGTAAGCATTCTCTTCTCTTCCCTGAAATAAACACATTCTCAAGCAGGATAATTACACAGCATCCTTTTATAAATGTGGTTGCCTGCTGATGATTTACCTGGAAGTCCTCTTCATCCAAAATCTCTTTCCGCCACTTAATCAAGAATGCAGCACAGACATATAAATGGAAATGAGAGAATCCCTCAGGCTCAGACTGAAAAGAACACATTACTTGGGGTTAGAACCGCTGTTATCAGCATGCTTTATTTCTCACTGCTTTTCTACATTTTTAGAGTTGTGGATATGCATATAAGTTATGTGCAAGGATAGCGGCAGAGCTCTATTTCGTGATGATGCTACACAGGTAGTCCTTGACTTACAACAGTTCATTTAGTGATTGTTCAAAGTTACAGCATCACTGAAAAAAGTGACTTAAGACCATTTTTCACACTTACAACCGCTGCAGCATCCCCATGGTCATGTGATCAAAATTCAGACGCTTGGCAACTGACTCATATTTATGACCGTTGCGGTGTCCCGAAGTCATGTGATCCCCTTTTGCAACCTTCTAACAAGCAAAGTCATTGGGGAAACCAGATTCACTTAACAACTGTGTTACTAAATTAACAGCTGCAGTAATTCACTTAACACAGGGGTCTTCAAACTTGGCCCTTTTATGACTTGTGGACTTCAACTCCCAGAATTCCTCAGCCAGGCATGTCCACAAGTCATAAAAGTCCACAAGTCATAAAAGGGCCATGTTTGAAGACCCCTGACTTAACAACTGTGGCAAGAGAGATCGTAAAATATGGCAAAATTCACCTAACAACTGTCTCACTTAGCAACATAAATTTTAAGCTCAATTGTGATCATAAGTCAAGGACTACCTGTAAAGACCTGCCCTCTAGAGTCCTGGGGGAAGACTGGCCTTCCAGAAGGCCCTGAAAAGTTGGTTTTGCCATTCAGAAATACGGAGCCCACAAAATGGCTGCACTGTGTTTAAGACTCTGAATGCACGCTCTTGTGGGTTTTTTTTTGTTTTGTTTATAGTACTTTAATTGTTTTAATCATTTTTGATTAAACAATCATTTTGTTGTAATTGTTTTGACAGTTTTTTGCTCTTGCTAATTTAATCATTTGAGCTGTCCAGAGTCACAAACGTGAGATGGGTAGCTAAATAAGTAAGTAAGTAAGCAAGCAAGTAAGTAAGTAAGTAAGTAAGTAAATAAGTGATCTGAGTATACTACTGCCTGCTTCCATGCAAGATTATTGCTGGGAAAAGGTGTCTGAGTAAAGTCACATGGCACCATTTTTATCAAGACAGGCTTCCAACAAAGAAGTCTAGGTACTCATACCTGATAAGTGTCCCAAAGGCGAATGGTGCAGCGAAGAGGAAGCTCCCTCATCAGGAGATTGTTCATCCAGCGAAAGGCAAACTGCAAGTACTCCACTTCATACTTCCTAAAGTGACTGTGTACCTGCTCTGGAACAGGACATTTTATTTGCAAATGGCAAATATTTGATATATTTGCTGTCATTAGTAGAAATCACATCTCTATGAAACAGTATCTTTCCTTGCTGTCTCTATTCCACTTCTGAGTACAATTCAACATGCTGGATTTGACCTATCATGTCCAACAGGGCTGCCTACTCCTATCCATCTGGTTCCTGCATCTCAGATAGAATGCTTAGCCTGCCTCTGAGATTTGGAGAATGTGAAAAACTTCTGTTTTTCTGTCCTGTTTCTATCAAGAAACTAGCAAGGAGAAAACCAGATTCCCATTAACATTGGAAGGGCAAGCTACTGTAGGTAAATAGGGAAAAACCCACTCACTTGCACTGATGATGTTACCTAGTTGGGTAATAAAATGTCTACAAACAGCCAAGCTCAGAGAGAACCAAGGACTCCACAGATCAACCCTGAGTTACATATATTCTACTGTACTATATCTGAATATGAGAAACTCCTGTTTTTTTTGTCACTGGCACCCATCCTATGGAATCGCTTCCCATTAGAATTTTGGAAAGTTCAAATGCTTGAGATCTTAAAGTCTTAATAAACAGAGCTGTGGAAATGGCAATTATTTAAAACCTATCATCAATGTGGTCATTTGGGGGGGCTGCCCATACAAAATGCCTTTTACTTACATTTTATAAATTTTAGTCCTTTTTCTGCTAATTTTTTCTCTTACATGCATATCAGCCTACGACTTCCCATTCACCCTTTCTTCCCAAGAGTATTCTATTTCTAACATGCCTTAAGTACATCAATATCCCAGTCTGATTGTCACCTATGACAACTAGAAAAAGAGCCTATGACTTTGGTCTCATGTCAATTGTTAGTGTTCTACACCCTATGTTTTTCTCTCAAGTGAGAATCCATGAGTGTTACAATTTCAATTGCAGGTGTCAAACTCAAAATTCACCTACCATCAATACGACTGACAAGTTCCTCCAGTGCTTTGACTTTTTTTTGGATCCCTGGTTGTGCAAATGTGTAGTTGTCCTGAAGCAAAAATATATTGTGTGTTTAAGAGGATTGAAAATGCTTTTCCAGGGTTTTCCAAAAATGTCAGAAATAAAATATGAAACTGTATATATACAATAAACCTTACCATAAATTTCTGATGTTTGGGACATATCTGATGGATACGCTCCTTATGGAATGCTCATATGCAATAGGAAATGGTGGCGAGAATTGGGTATTAACCATTTCTTGCCCTTTTTAACTGCCTGTAGCAATCTCATGTTCTCCGTTTATTTATTCAACACATCATGAACAAATAGGAGAAACTGCTGACCTCATGAGGTTATAAGACATTCTGGAAACCCTGGTTCTCCATGAATTACAGAAATTATGTATATATTTTCAAAATTAAGGATATATTACAAAAAAGATCCCCTAAAAGACTTTCAAAAATTCTGTTTTTGGGGTGACACACCTTAAAATAATAATAAAATTTATATTAAAATAATATAAACTTAAATTGAATATAGTTTTTGCACAGCATGGTCAAAACCTGTATAATGTTAAACTAGGAACTCAATTAAGTTTCCTGAGAATTTCATATTAGTTTTACATTATGTTTCTAGCCCTTAGAGCTGTGAAGACATACCCAACTGTACATTTATAATAACCCAGAAATTTAAGCAGAGGAAAGCATTATTAAGATTTTCAGGGACTAGAGAGTGCTGTTTCAGTATCCATGTGATTCCTTCTCTTTCTCTAGAATTAAGAAACCCAGAATAAATTATACAAATATAGAATGAATTATAAAACAAATGATTGAATAGTAATGAACTGCCATGATTCAAATTGAATATTTGGGAGACATAATATTTAAATAACTGAATATATCTTTTCAAATTCTTTTTTTAAGCATGGAGTGCACTTGCTTTTGTACATTGCCTTCAGTATAGAGGCCAAAGCAGGTAAAATTACGAAAGTCTAGGCTCCACATTATCCTTGGGTGACCATGAAGCAGCAGAAGTGGCTGGGAATAGCAGAGGTTGAATTATCCAAGGAAGAGATTCCCTGGAGTCCTGAGAGTCAGTACAGATAAATGTCCTACCTGGATCCCATCCAGCAGTTTGCTCATACACCAAAAGCTGTCAGCTTCGATGCTTTGCAGCACATCTTGAGATAAGTTTGTTACATCAAAGTTCTCCACATCTTCTTCTAAAAAAAGGAAGTGTACCATTGTAGAATAATGCTTAGGGATATACACCTCTTGTCTACCTCAATTATTTATTCTGTGTCTTTCTAAAAATAGAAGTGCACATATAAATCCTAACAGGTCTTCTTTTTGTTGGCAGAGTTGTAACTTCTACAATGTGAAAGTCCATACAAACGCGAAGGGAGAACACATGGACAGTTAGATCACTCAGTGGCTACTCAAATACTGGATTTTGTTTATTTATAACTACATTTATGACCATTATGATGGCAGGAGAATTTCAAATCTCAGGAGCTGGAGAAGACTATGACTACTCTGAATTGCTATTGTTCAGAATTTGACAACATGCATGACTTAAATCCCATGACTACCAGCAGCCAAAAAGGTTCTGCAAAAAACATATATGTATATGCACATATAAAAGACATGCAAAATTAAAAAAAGATAAGACTTTATCTATTTTTAGTAAAATTGTATGTTTGTGTATTTGTACTTATATATATATGTATTGAGCAGAGAAAATTACCAATGTTTAAAATTACACTAAGGCAAATATGATATAGTTGATAAGGTACCATTCCTGAATATATAGTAAGTTATAAGTATGCAATTATACCAGTTTTTGGAAAATTATTTGCTAAAAGAATTCCTGATTTTCTTGTATGATCTTCTAGACCTATGTCACCTGATAATGAGGTCTGAATACAAACAAATTCCCTTCAGGAAGACATTTATTAAGAGAGACAGAGGTTGTTGAAGGGAGAGGTGGAAAAGGTTGTGGTGGGATGGAACTGAGGAGATTCTTCAAGAGAAGTTTAAAAAAATAAAAGGTCACGTATGAGTCAGTGTATTAACATGACAGAAGCAAGGACAGAGAGGCATGTGAGGAATAATGAATAGTGCTGGTATAAACTACTACTTTTTCTTTTATCTTGTGTCTTTTAATTTATTTGGTTCAGACTTTCATACCTGTCCTTTGTTTATCCTGACAAGAAATAGTATGATGAGTAAATACAATGTCTATGCATGCAATATGCAAATGAGTCCACATTCACTCTTTTTCAAATATATTATCTTTAGATAATATTAAGCTTAGGCAATTGTCATTACTGATGAAGGGAAATGACGAGACAAGATTGGCATGTTTAAGAAGCATGCCTTAATTTCTCTTATGCCAAACTGCTATTCACAAATCCATTCAAGGCATAAAAATACATAGATCTCGCTATTCTTTGCTTCTCTTAATAGCAGATGCCTTGATCACATATATCTGAGTGTTTTACTAAGAGACACTTTGGTTGGCAGCACTGAAAAAGAGCTATAAAGCAATGGAGAAGTCATTCAAACCTTCCATAACAGTAAGAACTCTCTATCCAGTACAAGAGATTGACAGCTCTGAGTTAAGAAGAATACTTGTTTTTAAGAGGCAGGCGCCTTCATGAAGTGACACCAGGATAGGATTAGCCAAAGTTGTTTTGGGCTCTAGTTCCTTCCTTAGAAATGGCTGTTCCTCAAATCCTATTAACCAGAAAGATCTTTACCATCCATCTCAAAACTAAAAACTTGGCAGCAGGACTGTCATTGGTTCTTTCATAAAGTGAGATTCAAATATATTTTTTTCAATATTCTTGGTTACTGTCTAATCTTAAAATTGCTGCAATTTAATCTGGAAAGTATTTTTTTCTTTTTAAAATTAATTTCAATGACTAATACAGAGTTGGACATGACACCAGCTTTGAGTAAAGGCACTAGAAACTATAGATTTCAGGAACAAGAGATAAACAATACATGATATGAAGGATCAGTGATAGAATCTCCCAGCATTTTTTCACTTAGAAATAATTATGCAGGATCTTGAAATCAGCAAGATTTTGGATCAGAGGGGTCAGCAATTACTTGTGTGGGTTCCCCCCCCCCTTTCTGAGCTGCTTCTTATTGTAAACCAGTCTCACAACCAGCTACACTCAGCCTTGTAAGAGAAAAAAGGCTGTGACAAACATTCGTATTGGCTCAATGTTGCCCTCTCTGGTATGCAGGTCATCTTTATAGTGTTTGAGAATAGCCTTAGTAGACAAACCTTTCTTTTTTATCCGAAACATTTTTTTTTTCATAATAACCTGGCTTGTGAAATGTAAACGTGGAGTTCTTAAGGTAAGCTCAGTAGCTTGTACTTTTGGGTTTGTTATCCAGGCAGCTGGCATATTGGACAAAATAAATCGACTCAAGGGTCAGCATTCACTTCTACCCTAGTCTCATAAATGTGGAACTCCATTCTGCTTGTTTCCTGGGGACTTCCACCATGAGCCAAATATGTTAACTCCAAAACCAATCTTAGTAACCCACACAGATATAAAATTAACATTATATTTAAATAGTCAAGAAGCACCTTCAGGCACATGCTTGGTATTGTAGGATGCATAACCTGAAGTCTCTTTCACCGAATAATTCATTTTTTTATGTTCTGAAGTTCCAAGCTTGCTATGTCATAACTTAGCTACATAATTGCATGTAATATCTTTCACAATAGCAAAAACAAAACATTTAGGCTTATATATTGCTTCATAGTCCTTTACAGCACTCTTTGGGTGGGATACAATGTCAGCATATTGCCCCCAACAATCTGGGTCCTCATTTTACCGACCTCGGAAGGATGGAAGGCTGAGTCAACCTTGAGCCCATCAGGATCAAACTCCAAACTGTGGGCAGAGTTAGCCTGCAATACTGCATTCTAACCACTGTGCCACCATGTCTCTAGAATTTCTGGAGCTAATATGTAGCTAATGCTACATATGTATCCCCCTAAGTTAAATCTGACTGATTGAATTACTTGATTTTGTTAAAGTGAATTTACTACCAAAATACTTTTTAAACGAATTCCAATAACTTAATTGGAATGGTGAGTGAAACTGGACTTCATTTGTTATGCCCTTCATTCCATTTAATTGAACTTTACACTCAACTGGCTGAAAAATAACAATCTCTATTTTTACTGTCTCTCAAGACTAACCATCAAGTTTAGAAGAAAACATATTACTGAACAGCAAGAAGGTACCAACTCTGTGGCAGCCCACTAGTGAACAGTGTATAAGTAGCATTAGTGTAATGGAAAAGGCTGTAGGGGACACAGCGAGACAAGCAGAGATAAGAGATGCTTCTGGCAATTTTCTGAATCTTTGAAGCATATATTGTCATCAATGCTTATTGCTAATTTATGAAAAGACTTCACAGACTCACAAAAGCTTAACAGCTTTTAAACAGATTTTTTAATCCGTCAGAGGTCTGAAAATGACATCTAAGTAATTTGCATCTGCAGCAATTATGAACTGTTTTCCCTTTCACCAAACTTGTAAGGAGAACACCATTCAGTGAGACCAGCCTGAGGCATCAGTAGAATCAAATGAAACAACCTCTTTAAGGGAGAAACCACAGGTTCTACCCAGTTCTTCCAATGCTAGTTAATTCAGTTTCTAAAAGGAAAGGAAGATTCTCACAGAATCAGAGGGATTTCCACACACTCAAAAAAGCAAGGGCAATGGGCCTATGTTTGAGTCAAGTGACCAAGGCTAAAATCATATCTGCCCATCAATCTGATCAACCAGCTTTCTTTCAATAGTACCATTTCAATAAAGCTGTCTTTTGGGGAAACATTCAAATTACAACATTAAACACACTTAATGCTGTTTTTAATTGATTGCCAGAGGACTAGAACAATTTAAAATGTTTGCTCTTTGCTTTCAGTTCTATGGAATAAAATCTTGTTTTGAAAATTGTAATTTACAAAGTAAATATTATAACCTTAGATTATATATCGATCCTAGTGGAGGAGAAAATATCACAATACCTAACTTTTGAAATTCCTTAACTCTTAAAAGTAATAGAAGCTAACATGTTGTTATCACATATTTCTCTGAAGGGCAACAGTGGCATAATGGGGGTGGGGAGGATGGATGTGATTCTGAGATTTTCTCTAAAAAAAATTTTAATAGGATTATTTTGTACATATCTAATTCTATTAGGAATGAGATTGATTACAGTCAGAAACCTGCTAGAAAGCCTTTACCCTGGTACCAACCAAGCCTGCAGGATTAGTCAGGATATGAGTGAATCAATAAGAAGATTCTTAATGCCCTCTTATTAGGCATGAGAGTATTTGAGATTTATACTGCATTATTGTTTATATTCTGTGTTATTATTTCATTCTAAAACGCAAATTACCTAATTTAAGAGCATACAATCATAGAATAAAATTGCACAGGCAACTTTGAATAATATTTATATTTTTGCAAACTTCAATTTTTAAAGATTTTCAAAAGAAGCAGAATATAGGATTTTATGTATTTTGATTCCAAATACTCTACAACAGCGGTTCTCAACCTGTGGGTCGTGACCCCTTTGGGGGTCGAATGACTCTTTCACAGGGGTCGCCTAAGACCATCAGAAAACACATATTTCCGATGGTCTTAGGAACCAAGACATCGTTCCTCTATCCGTCTCCGCACGGCTTCGAGCTGGGGGCCGTTGCAGCACTGGATTCGTTTCCGTCGAGCATCTCCTAAGGGAGGCTGCACTGCTTCGCGGCCCTTTCCACGGAGGAGGCTGAACTAAGCTCTGCTGGTGCTGTTGTCCTCTTGGCTCTCTCTCTCTGCCTGGGTGCTTCTCCAACCAGGCTGGGCGGATCCGCCAGAGCGGCCTTCCTGCGCCCCCCCTCCCCGGCCAGCTGGAGCCGGGCAGGCCAGCGACCTTCGGAAGTGAGGCGAGGACAGGCGAGGCGTGCAGAGCCCCGGGCACGGCGGGTGAGTGGGCGTCGTCGTTGCGCGCTTGGAGAGCCCTTAGAGTTGGGGGTCACCACAACATGAGGAACTGTATTAAAGGGTCGCGGCATTAGGAAGCTTGAGAACCACTGCTCTACAAGCAGATTTGGGTCATCAGATTTGTTTTGTCACTTGGTTGTAGTTTTTGCTTCCTTAGAAACAAAAAATTGAGGAGAGGTTTCTGGGGAGAA